TAGCAATCCAGCGGTGTTCTCTGGAGCTCTGCACAATCAATCTCCACCATCCAGGGTCCAGGCGCAGAGAGCGCGCCCCGAGCGAGCGCTTGCCCATCCAGCTCTCAGGTTTCCAGCACCTCCCCTCGCCCCGCCTCGTAGGTGTGACAGTTGCCAGAGTCTCAATGGGGGTTGGAGCTTCCAGATCCAAGCTGGAATGACTACCCACTACACATATTGACTAAGAAAAGATGAATACCCATCTATCCCCAGGCATTAGTGGGTGTTTTGCTAAAGCACCTCCCACACCCATGGGTATAAAACTTGTACAAATAAGGGCATGATATAAAATTGCTTTCTAATTGTGTATAGTCTACACATATCTTCATACATTTGTAAGCCATCTCTAGATTAATTATAACCCAACAAAATGTAAAAGCTGTATGTATAGTAGGTATGCTGCATCACTCAGGCAATAATGACAAGGAAGAGTCTACAGTTCAGATGCATTTTACTGAATATTTTCAGTGTGCAGTCATTGAGTTGATACAAAACATGCAGATACAGAAGAATGATTGCATATACCGCAATAATGCCAAAAGCAAAATAGGATGATGTTTAACTCTCAGGCTACAGAGAAGTTACAGTTACTAGAAGTCTTAAAGAAAACTAACAGGTTCATTAAAAGTCAATGCCGAGAAGCTGGGGGTATTGAGGCTGATCCTTGCCTAGCAGTTAGGAAATGCTTGGCTCAGAACTAACACTGCATTAATAAAAATTAAAGAGCTTCAAATGGTGGCACTGTCTATAGTCCCAGCACTCAGAGGCTGAGGCAGGAGCATCTCTGCACAAGGCCAAGTGAGGGTTACATAGTAAAACTGTGTCACAAAACAAAGGCAAAAAAAAAAAAAAACCTTCCTGACAATGAAATGACATAATGAAGGGATTAAAATATTGTGATAAAATCTATAAAGGGCTTTCTCAACTCAAAGAACTATAAGTAATTAAAATTCAATGACCGCAACCTTCATCAAAAATTAAGAAACTCAAAGTTATAGCCAAGAGGTATCATATGTTCTTCCACAAGAATTGTGGGAAAATACAACAATATTCATTTGGTAACTATATGAGAGGAGGAAGAGATACCTCAAGTTGAGCATGATAGCTTACTCCTGCAATCTAGTACTTGGGAAGCTGAGGTAGGACTGGTCAAGAGTTTTGAGGCAAACCTGGGCTACATAGAGAGTTTTATTTAAGACTGTACTACAGTGTAAGTCCCCATTAAAAATCCCCATTAAAAATAAACCAAAAACAGACTAACTGGGTAGAGCTCAGTAATAGAATGTTTGCCTAAAATGTATTAGGTCCTGGATTTGATCTCCAACATATATTCTCTCTCTCTCTCTCTCTCTCTCTCTCTCTCTCTCTCTCTCTCACACACACACACACACACACACACATATACACACACAAATGATCTGAAAATATACATCAATATTGAGCTAATGTTATATCCAAAGATTCATAGAAAGCCCTACAAGTGTGTACAAAGATGTACAAGGAAGTTCATTAGAGTACTATTTCTAACAACTCACAGGGAAAAATTACCTGCAGGTTCACCAGCAGAGAAAACGGCTTAGCAAACAGTGACATCTCAGACAGGTAAGTGACTGAAGAGGCCTGCATCTCTAACAGCATGGAAGACTACCATACAGATGCCATCAGGCCAGAAGAAATCACTGCAGATATTTGTATTCCCAACAACCACGATACCATATTGGCACGGCACTAATTTTAGTCTAATTTAAAACCTCCTAAATTGCCCAGCTATGTAGCTTTTGCCAGCCATGAGAGCTGGCAAGGCTAGGCTTCCTTATTTATGAAATGATAATAATAATAATACCACCCCCAGAGAGTTATGAAAATGAAATTGCATTTGATTCAACATGGACAGAGGCACTTTCCCAAGGCAGTACCGAAGATGGTATTTCCCTAGACACAACTCACTTTAAAAGGAGTTTTTAATATTTCATATACTATTGCCTTTAATGCCCTTTAAATAAAACTCCGCATGGCTAACTGAATTCTAGAATGTAGACTGAGAAGATTCCTACTTGTGTGCAGAACAATGAACTCTCATTCTACAACAGGTCACTGCTTGTCACAATTTCTATTCTGCCTGGGACAGGAAGACCCTGAGAGGTGAAGGGAAGATTGGGTTAGGTAAATATCTCTTCTTCCATCTACATTGTCTTTCAATGTAAAATTCTTTCAATTTTCTTGTTATAGTTGTACTATTTATGCTTATCTTACTCTGCAAAAACAGGGATAACAATCAAATAATCGGAAATTCCTGCATCATCATGGCATTTCTGTCTGCCTTTCCCCTTTCTATAGAGGTATCCGGGATCCCCAGAGTCAACAGCATCAAGATACATATATTTAGTTCAGTCACCTTCACATTGTTCCTGTGTTATTTCACTGAGAAAAGCAAACAAAAGGATGTTTAAGTTTAAGGCCTCTTGATTCTGTGCCAAAAAGCAATATTCTGTTCCCCGATCAAAGCAAACAAAACATGACCTCATCTCTGCTTCCCAGCAGCCAGGCTTTCAGGATTAACAAGTTTGCAATGAAACTAAGCAAGGACACTTCTGAACTAGCAACCCCAGGCTGTGAAAACTGAATGAGGTAAGAACAAGCTTATTATAAAATTCTAACTTGAACAGTTATCTTATTTACATGTTCAATACTTTGAACAACATTTTTTCAAGACAGCAATGCTTTTTCAATGTTAAGTAACATATTTCTTTTACTTCCTTGTGATACATTTTAATCAATGCAGGTCAAAATAAATCCCACATGCCCTGTAAACACAACTGTAAGGCATCTCTCCTGATGCTTCCACAGGTCACAGCTGCAGCTGCAGGCTGGGTTCTGCTTAATCTTCCTGACACATCAAAGATGGAAACTGTCCCAGGTTCTAGCGGGCTGAGTTCCAGAAGATGGCTCTGCACAGTACTGCTGGGGACAAGCCAGGCACTTGCACACTCCCACAAATGGACTCCATTCATCATGCGCTTTCTTAGCAGAATCATAGCTCATCCTCATGGGATTGCAGGGACTCGCTTGAAGAGGCTCTAATTGGCAACTAACAACAAACTATGGACAACGGTCCTCCTCTTCATATTTAAAAAAGAACTTTGGTGGTAAAACATTCTGAAAGGGGCTCCTAGTCATGGCAGCACTGTATAATCTCAAGCATCTCTTTCCACCTCCAGAAATGAGGTCGATCTGCTGAGGCCGATCATTAAGAACAGTGTGTAGACCAGAGGATGGGAAAGGTTCGTGCAGCAAAAGGAAGCCAGCCAAACTGGAGGTCATGGTTTTCAGTGCTGGGATTCAACATTAACAGTCCATGGAGAATCTATAAAGGTGGGGGTTGTAGTTCCTGCCTACATAAGCCTGCACTGCGCTACAATGAAAGAAAACCCCAAATTAACTTCTGCTACGTGTAGAAACATTCTGAGCCAAAAGGTATAAGAGACACATAAGCCTATCTCATAAATCCAGCAAAGCCCCAATTTCTGTGCTTAAGTCATTCCAAAAAGTAATTTGTGTGATGGGTTTTTATGAACCCGCTGTACAATTCTTCAGTAGGATGTGTCCAGCCCCTCATTTGCATCAATCACGACTCTTACATGGCAAAGCACAGGATCACGGAGAAGATTACAGCCAGGCACCAGTCCAAGAGCCAGAAACACGGGTCTCACCTGTTCAGAGTCCCTTTACTTAAGATGTTTGTAAGCCAATTTACTAATTTTCCACTCATTTCACCGTTTGTAACTTGCCTCATTTAGTAAGCTGTATTAATGGATTTAAAATACTTATCTTTGGAGTGCAGACTTCTAATTAGGATCTTTCAAATAAATGCTAGTTAATCCTAGCTTGTGGTTTTGTGACTAAGGAACCTAGAAGGCTAATGACTCCCAACAGTAGCCAGATCCATACATAGTGTGTCATATGTACTTACATAATTTAGAAGAAAATTTAGGTATGATAAAACTACAAATTCTATTCGACTCTTTAAGAACTTTACACAAAACTGATGCAATGAGTAGGGCAGATGTATAAAGACGATGTTCATTTTTCAAATTTTTATATGAAAAATTTAAAAGTCTGAAGACAATGCTAAGTAGGAAGTCAGTAAGGGCAGGTTTGCTTCACAGATTTTAAGTCTAGTGTAGGTCCCTAAAGAAAAGAAACAAAAACAAACAAAAATGCCCCTACTTTCCCACAAGGCGAAGAAGAAAACACAGGAGGTCCAAAGACAACAACAAAAGCTGTTATTTACCACTGTTCTCCAAACAAACAGAAGCAATGGACATGTGCACACACACATAAAATTCTGCATACATGATATGTATCTTCCTTGATTTATGTTCAAGTGGATTCCACAATACACGAACACAAAACCCATATGGTAGGAAGCACGCTGGAAACAGGAAAGTTGGTGCTGTGGGTGAAGTCCAAAGACCAGCTGTGGCAGAATTCCTCTTTCTTTGAAGATCCTCAATTTATCCACAAGGCAGCAGCACATTATGAAGTATGCTCCACTTTAGCCTACTAATTGAAATGTTAATATCATCTGGGGGGAAAAAACCTGCCTTCCTAGAAACATATAGAATAAAGTTTGCCCAAAAACTGACTATCATTAGCTTCCCAAACTGACTCCTAAAGTTATCTGTCACAAAGCTCTCTGGCTTACATGGACTTTGGGGGCCAGAGAAACACACTTTTCTTAAAAGCGTTCAGAAATAGGGCTGAAGTTTTACCTACAGTGGGCTCAGATCCTCCTGACAATTAGACCATTTCACATAGACAGCATCATCATTCCCACACTTAAACCACTAAGTCAGAGAAGTCTTTTCAACTACAGTTCGGGAGTGCTGTGGGGAGTCTATATTATTCTGGCATATGAGCCTGGGCCACCAGCCTTGCAGTGGGGCCTGTTCTCAGGACCTTATGCACAGAAGGGATCAGTTCCAATAGTCAGCTTGCTGGGGTCTAGAACCAGCTCTCGACTCTTCTGTTTGTTTGTTTGTTTTATTCTTTTCTCACGTATTACATACCTCCTCCTCTCCTCCCAGTTCTACGCCCCCTCCCCATCCACTCCTCCTCCATTTCTCTTCAGAAGCGGGCAGACCTCCCTGGGGTATCAACCAAACAGCATATCATGCTGCAATAAGACTAGGCATATTCTCTCGTATTAGGCTGGACAAGGCAACCCAGGAGGAGGAAAGGGATCCCAAAAGCAGATAAGAGTCAGATAGCCCCTGTTCCTACTGTTAAGTGCCCTACTGTTAAGAACGCCAAGCTACACAACCATAACATATAGGCAGAGGACCTAGGTCAGAGCCATACAGGCTTCCTAGTTGCTGGTTCAGTCTCTGTGAGCCCAGGTTAGTTGATTCTGTGGGTCATTTCTTTGTGGTGTCCTTGACCCCTCTGGCTCCTACAATCCTTCCTAGTCACTGCATACTACTCTGAGACCAAGTCTTCGCTCATAGCTGTTGCTGATGGTAAGTTTTTGCTTGTTTTGGTTTTGTTTTTCAACATTCTCTCATAAACATGCAACTCTGTGGAGTGTTTGAAGGATGGATCACTAGAATACACTTGTCCATCTAATCTAGTTGAACTCATTATGCTTTTTACAGTCATGCTATTAACATACTACTAATTTTGTCAACTCTTTATTCCTACATGGTTTAGCATACATTCAAATGCAAAGCCAAACTTTATTTCCCTGTTCAGTTAAGGGTCAGGAGGACAACATGGAGATTTTCCCAATTGGATAAAAGATAATTTAGTATAATTTAGCAAAGGAAGATTTGTGAAAGACGCCCCCCATTCTGAAAATGTTGATGGTATGATGGCTTCCTTCATATATACAGATCTACATAGAGACACAAACCCTGGACTTAGCAGTAATGTGGAAATGTGGAGCAGTCTAAGACATGTGAAAAATCACATCACCTGAAATTGAAGGTAAGAAGTCAAGCTGAGTATGGTGGCTCATATCTATAATCTCAAGACTCCACAGGCTGAGGCAAGAAGATTGCTATGAGTTTAAGACCACCCTAGGCTACACAGTGAAGAGTATCAGGCTAGCCAGGGCTACCCCAGGATCAAAACTTCCCTGTGGCTCTTGGAGTCAATTTATGTCTGTTCCTATGTGCACTAGGCTCACTTTTATAACCTACCTGCCATGCTAAATAAAAATAAATTAGTCTATCTATGAAGACATTAATACACTAAGCCATATTTCTAGTCCTCCTTGTGGGCACAGTAGGGTATTACATCTCCAACTTTCTCAAACTGGGGTAGAGCTATGTAAACACTACTGGCTGCTAGGTTCTGAGAGAGAGAGAAAAAACATTCCATGTCATTCTCCATCTAAGGTATTTTATTGCAAAGACAAGACCTCCCACTATTGTTACCTTCCTGTGTTGTTGCTGTCTGAGAAATAAATACAAATATGGGCCTTCTGAAACTGGTGAGCACATGAGCAACCACAATGCTACAAAGAGCTAGTCCATCATCTAAAGAAGCATGAGGTGGTATTGAGTTCCCTGAAATATTGTGCACCCTAATAAACTTATCTGGGGTCAGAGACAGAACAGCCACAATATTAAACATAAAGGATAGGCAATGGTAGCACACGCCTTTAATCCCAGCACTTGGGAGGCAGAGCTAGGCAGAAATCCATGTGTTCAAGGATACAGCCAAGCATGGTGACTCACGCCTTTAATCCCAGAAAGCCAGCCTTTAATCCCAGGGAGTGATGGGAGAAGGCAGAAATATATATAAGACGTGAGGACCAGGAACTAGAAGCATTTGGCCTGGTTAAGCTTCAGGCTTTTGAGCAGCAGTTCAGCTGAGACCCATTCTGGATGAGGACTCAGAGGCCTCCAGTCTGAGGAAACAGGATCAGCTGAGGATCCGGTGAGGTGATGTAGCTGTGGCTTGTTCTGGTTCTCTGATCTTCCAGTTCACCCCAATACCTGGCTCAGGTTTGATTTTATTAATAAGAACTTTTAAGATTCCTGCTACAGAAGCACCTGCTCATGCAGCATAATTGCAAAGATCTGGTCTTGGTTTAAAGACACAGAATTAAGAGTCAAGAGATAGAGACACTACCCGACCACTGACCTCACTAGAGGCAATGGTGAGGCAGGAGACCCAAGCCCATAGTGCTCAAGTGCACTAATCATCAGTAGATACGCCTGTCTATTCTGCTCAGCAGGCTTGATCCCAAAAGCCTGGTCCCTAGGGGCCACAAGAGGGGCCAAGGCAGTTCCAGTCCTTCTCCTCCCACTTCTCCATAAATATGACCATGGCACTTAGGGGTGGCGACTGGCCGCGGCACTGAATGCACCTTCCCCATGATCCACTTACCATGTAGGTAGCCCTTCCCTTACACAACATAGCGAACAGTTTCTAGGCTCAGTTCTTATCTAACAGCTACAGAAAGAATGGGCAAAATGGTGTTCAGAGTTAGTGGAGATATTAAAAAGTAAAAAAGAATTTATATCGCTGAGTCTTCTTAATATATACCTTGATAATATTATTCTTGTATTATTTGAAATGATGAAACTTGTCATTTCTCTCAATATATTCATAGAAATGCATTGATGGAAAGACCTGATGATATCAAGCATACATCTCTGGATTAGAGATGGCACTAACTATCTTATACTCAGAGATAATTAAAAATCAAATACCGAAGATATAAACACTTCGAATTCCAAATAGTTATAGTGGCTCTGCAAAAAGCCAATATGTACATATAAAGTTAAATCTTTAATATATATGTATGTATGCACACACATCCATACACATTTATAAAAATATGTGGTATTCTTAAGAGCACATACATAACACTTTTCTCTTGAAAAACTTACTATTGCCAGGCATGGCGGCACACACCTTTAAGCCCAGCACCTGGGAAGCAGAGGCAGTGCAACTCTCTGACTTACAAGTCAACCTGCTTTACATATTGAGTTCCAGACCAGACAGAGCTACCTAGTGAGATTCAATCTAAAAAATAATTACTTGGTTAAAATATGTTAACTACCATTCTAATTGTTTATGGCGATGCATGAGGAGGCCAAAGGGCAGCTGTGTGGACTCAGTGCTCGCCTTTCGTTTTCATGTGGCCTCTGGATATTGAGCTCAGACTGGCAAGCTCGCACAGCAAGGACTGTTGCTAGCTATGAGCCATCTTGCAGGCCGAGAAATTTTCAATGAAATAAAAATAATCAGAAGGGCCTATATTTTTATTTATAAAAAAACAGAATTCAGTATAATCAATACCATTTATCTACAAATATGTGTTGTTAAATTACTAGAAGATATATTTTAAGTCCTTATAAATGTAGTTCACAAATAATAAAGAGTTGGATCATTCCAAACTTATGAAATTCTAGGACAAGTCCAAATTAGTGAGTTTTTAATACCCCAGTAGACGGTTTAACAGAGAACTGGGTAATCTGCTGCTGGTCATGTTTTCCTTAGTGTTTTTCAAATTACTATAAACAATTAAACATTTCCATGAGAAATTAGCAATGCTCTCTTGAAACTCAGTGGATCTCTTATTTTAAATCAGAGGCATATGCTTTGCAAGCTAACAAATGGTAGCCAGTATGAAGTAAATTTTTGGCCTTGGTACAATTCCCAATGGACATGTGTCCTCATTAAAAAAAAAAAAAAAAAAAGACAAATTATCCCAAAGGTACATTGTAGATAACACGAAACTCCACAATTAGTCGATTTTAAGGAAAAGCGATTATCTTTAGTAATCTTTATTCATGATTCAATCAGTTGAAAAGCCTGGAGCAGAAAGCTTGGGTTTCCTGGAGACAAAAGTCCTATTTGTGATTGCAAATCACAATGCATCCCTGCATTGGTGTTCTAGCTTCCTGGTTATTCCTGTAGGTTCCATCCCTGCACAGCCTACTCCATCTGTATGAGCCATTGCTCGCAAAAATCTCCTAGTATGTACCACTACTGGTTCTCCTCCCTTGACTCGACTTGGATGAAACAAGCACTCCATGTCTTCGTCCTACAGCAAGGCAGACAGAGTTTTTATGGAAACGTCCTTCAAAGTGCTAACTCTAACCTACACAACTTGTGAATCAATCTAATGGGTCAGGAGTGGCATGGGAGAAGTTGAAAAATACAGGGTACAAAACATCAGTATTTATTCATGTACAAAAAATACTCATTGTACTTTAAAAATTAGTTTCAATTGAACATATATATATACATTTATATTATGTACCAATGTAAAATAGTTGTGACTTGGAAAATAAAGGCACAAAAGAATTAAAGAATTTAAATATAAGCATCTCAAATTACTGAGATTTAAGTGGTAGCTATTGATCTAGAAATAATATATTCTCATATATATTATTCTATATATATACATATTATTCTCATATATTCTCTCTCTCTCTCTCTCTCTTTCTCTCTCTCTCTCTCTCTCTCTCTCCTCTCTCTCTCCATCCCACCCCACTAATTCATTGCAAATTCTTACTGAGCACCAGCTCCCTGGTTGATGCTGAGCTCAGTACTAAGAATGAGAATGGCCTGTGACTTTAACCCACACTATACCTAGAGAAGGGGACCACAGGGGCAATGGCTAAGCCCCTCCAGGGAAGGGAAGGAGAGGTGAGCAAGAGAGCACTTCCTGAGATCCATAAAACCAGAGACTTCACCCAGCTCTGGTGACAGTCAGCAAATCACAATTAGGGGAGGGGAAGGGAGTGGTGGTGTCTTAGAAGCACATGAAAGGTAGAAATGAAAAACAAGAAGAAAAGTCCAACACATGAAGCAGATCAACAGCCTGTGGCTAAGGTGGTGCGTGAGACAAGGGCACGGGAAGCTCAGCATGGAGGGGGCTTTGGGGCAGAGGGTAGACAGGGGAATAAAAGCACACAGCAGACACAGCCATGCCAAGTGCTTTTCTTTTCTAGAGTGGGCATCTATGAAAAGGGTTAGCAGTGCTAGAACCCGAAGGAGAGCAGCAGCTAGACACTTTCTGAACCCTTGCCTTCACAACGGGGGGGGGGGGGGGGGCTAGCCCACTCTTGCTGTGACAATGCCCCTGGTGCTGTGCTCAGTCATCACACAACAGAGGGAAGGCTGGGATGCGGCCACAAAACTCTGGCAAAGGTAATGCAGCCAGAGGGCAAGGGTGACATCAGTCTTAGAAAGCCAATGAACAAAGTAAGGTGTTGGGGACTGAAGTCTCTCTTCGAGGTCAGCCCGGCGCAGGAGGGCCACACCAGTGACGGCAGCAGGAAAGGACCCAAGTCCACAGGACACAGCTGAGCCCTCTTTAGGGTGGAATTAACACAGAATACCTGCTATCTGAAATCTTGTCTGTAGGAACCATGGCCGGTCTCTGGGAAAGAGACTCGTACCTGCAGGCTGAAGACAACGAGCACCTGATTCCCTAAGCCAGATCCTCTCCTGCAGGCCAGATGCTCAGAGAGACAGTGAGAGGAGCATTTCTACCAGCAGCCAGAGAGTCCCCGCAGCAGCCCTGAAAACTTTAATTTCAGCAAAAGTCATGAGTGAAACAGGTTTGGTTTTCACACCCTGCAAACTGAGGCCAGACATCGTGTACTGGACAAAGCAGATGGCAGCGGAAGCTTAAAAAGCAACTGTCAGATGTCACCTCTCTACACTGATGCTGAGTTGGTGAGCCTGACTAGATGTAAAAGGAACTTTACTGCACTCTGGGCAGCTGTGATGATGCAAATGTAAAAGTATGTTGCCCCACAAGGCGGGAAGGACTTGGCTTCCTTTTAAATAAACAGACCCTCTCATTTTGGCTTATCTAAGAAGTTCAGGCAAATGTAACCGACGGGTTCTTTGGTGTCACTGAAAACATCAATATACAGTTAAATCTCTTAACTGTCTCAAGGTTCCCTTATTTACAGGCAGAAGCGCTTTGCAGGAAACAAGACAATCAGTGATCT